AATCTTTTTCCAACTTGCCAGTCGTCTCTCAAATAATTCTATTATCGGCTCCCAATTTATTCCATCCTTATAATTTGCACCAAGGGGGACTACAAGATATTTGATAGGAAGCTGAGAAATTTTACAATTTAATACACGGGCAAAAGACTCAACTTCACTGTTTATATCCATATCGACCGGCTCAAATTTGCCCATATTAATAATACGGAGCTCGGAGACGGCTTGGAAGAAAAGTAGTATACATCTCAGGTTGAGGAGAGTGTTGGCTTCAAGTTGGCAGAATAATAATATGTCATCAGCAAAAAATAAATGTATTAATTCAATTTTCTTTTCCTTCTCCACCGTGATTCCCTTAATGAGGCTTAGAGTTCTAACATGTTCAAGTAATTTATTCAGACCTTCCATAACTAATATGAAAAACAATAGAGTAGGTCACGTTGTCTCAAGCCTCTTGATGCAGTGAAGAAAGAGGATGGACCTCCATTAATCATGACCGCAAAACTAGTTGAGGAAATACACGTCCGAATCCACCTCCTCCATTTAATCTCGAAGCCAGATTTATCAAGCATGTAATCTATGAAATCACAACTGACATTATCAAAAGCTTTCTCCATATCCAATTTACACAGGATCCTGCGCTTTTTATTACGTGACAGATCATCCACAACCTCATTGGCAATCATAATAGAATCTGTAATTTGTCACCCTTCCACAAAAGCATGTTGTCAGTCCCCTATAATCGATTTAAGAGATTTGGAAAGTTTTGTCGCAAGCACTTTTGCAAAAAGTTTGCAAACAGATCCAACCAAACTAATAGGCCTAAAGTCACTGAAGCACTTGGCACCATCTTTTTTGGGAATCAGCATTAAGAAAGTGGAGTTCATAGACTTTACAAATGAACCATTCTTATGAAATCATTAAAGAAATAGATGACATCTTGTTTTACCTCATGCCCAAAATCTTGAAAGAATTTCGTGTTGAATCCATCAGGCTGGGGCTTTATCACGGTTACAATCTTTTAAGCAAGTGGTAATTTCTTCTTTAGTGAATTCAGATTCTAGAAAAACCTGTTCGGATTCCCTGATTATGTTGAAACATATGTTCTCTAATTTTGGCCTTTGATCGAATTCCTCTTTGTATAAGAGTTGGAAGTGACTTTTAGTTGCTTCCCTCATAGTCTCGTTGCCAGAGATAGAACCACCATCAACCAAAATTTCTTCGACATAACTTACCCTTCTCTGGTGATTAGCTAAGCAATGGAGTATTTTGAATTTTTGACCCCCGCCTTGAGCCATTTTTCTCTTGCTTTCTATTTCCACGATATAGCTTCCCAATGCATTCAGTTTGCTAGTTCAACTATCAGCCTGTTTCTTTTCTCTATGCTATTAGAATCCAGTTTGCCCTCTGTCTTAGTGTAGTCCAAGTCAGCCAGATCACTTGATATATCCCGATACACGTTCCTCTTTCAAGCCACACCTCCTTGGTCCACCTTTTGATTTCATTTTCCAGACGAAAGAGTTTATCGGCAAGCTGGAAGCTGGCAGTCCTCTGAATGACTGTTTCCTTCCAAAAAAAAACAAAAATCATTATCTAAAGTTGTCCACTTTGAGCTATTTATTTTCAATGCGGAAATGAACATATCCCCCACCTAATCCTATCAGAAGATAAGCAAATAGGAAAGTGATCAGAGAGAGGACGAGGAAGTACCTTTTGGCTCATGCCTGGGAAGGTGAGGAGGAGATCAGTGGAGACAAGGAATCCGTCAAGGCGGGAGAAGGAGGGTGTGTCACGCTGATTGCTCCAAGTCCATCTTCGCTCTTTAAGTTGTAAATCCTCCAGGCCAAGATTGCCAATGTTTTCCTTTTAAACACTGAGTGTAAGAGGTAAAAAATTGATTGTCTAATATCTCATTACGTTTCAGAACCAAATTAAAGTCCCCACCAACCACACCCTTGACCCCTCACTTGATACGACAATGTAGTAGTTCTGCCAACAAAAGATCTATGGCCGATGAATTACCTATGTAATAGACCCTGGACAAAAACCAAGTAACTATGTCGGTGTTGTTGACAAAAAGGCATGACAGAGTAGTTCTCCCCATAATAGAATCAATGTAGAACATGAGGTCCTTTTTCCACATAATCAGAATGCTCCTCCCAATGTTGTTAGATGGTAGAGACAACCAGTCAATATCATGATAATTCCCTAGACTCTTTACAACAAGGTCGTTTGTAGAGTCTAGTTTTGATTCTCAAAAACAAACCAAATAC